AATATCAACCACATCTAAGCACGATTCGATCCCTCTTTGCATGAACACGGTTAAAATAAATGAAGTATCACACCACAAACATTTGGGGCTTATTTTTTAAAACAATCTTAAATGGAACATACATATAAAAAATCTTTGTAATAAAGTGTCAAAATTTATCAACTGCTTAAGATCACTCAAGTACCGACTAAATCACTCAAGTATACTTCATATATTTTACCACACTTTGGCTATGCTGGCATTATTTGGGATGGGTGCACGGATTACTTAGCTAACCAGTTAGAACAACTACAATTAGATGCTTTACACACAATATGTGGCGCTGAGAAGGGAACTAGTCATGATTTACTATATAAAGAAGTCGATAATTTGCCTCTAAAACAACGTCGCGAAAGACATAAGTTGATATTTTTATAATATAAAATAATAAACCACCTAACCCCTGATTACCTGTATGATAATCTAAACAAAAAAAAAAGTAACTACTCATTAAGAAATGACAAAAACCTACCATACTATTTTTGTAAAACTAATCTATTTTATAATTCTTTCTTTCCTTCAACTACACGACTTTGGAAGAATCTAGATCTTTCTATACGTTATTCAGATACGTTATTCATTTTTAAACAAAAACTCTCAAAACACGATCACTTGGTACCTTCTTTTTACAATATTGGTAAAAGAAAAGTTCAAAGTTCAAGACTTCGTTTATCTAACAGTGATCTAAATGGACATGCATTTTTAAGACACATAACCGACTCTCCAACCTGCCGATGTGGATACAATTTTGAAGATCCTTATCACTTTCTGCTGATATGTCCCTTATATTCAGATGCACGAAATAAAACCATAAAAAACATTACCAACAGAATACATCAACAGATTATTTCTATTGTTTGGCTCTACGGATATTTCAGTTGAACAAAATAAATTAATATTTTCTGAGGTGCAAAACTCTTTAGAATTAAATAGATTGTAAGTACTGTGATATTATTCAAAAAAAGTAGGGGATATTTGATTTTTAAGTGTTATTAAAGTCACCTAATGAAACTGACGAAGAAACAAATGACAAAATGAAATGAAGTTCACATTCATCGATTTATTCCAAATGATCGTTAGACTAAGTAAGGCACAGACTGACCATTATAAGGGTAAAATGATACCCGGGGTCAAACAGCAAAGTTACCACAGCATCACAACCAAGTCAGTAACGGGTAAATCGTCCTCTGTTTGCCAAACAAGCATTGATCCGACGTGGCATACTCCTAATGAGACGTCTAAGGTCATTTTGGTCCAGATTGTCCCATTCCTGTTGCAACGCAGCAGCAAGTTCTTGGACATTGGCAGGACGTTGTTGACGTTGACGTAACCTCTGTCCAAGCATGTCCCAGACATGCTCGATGGGGGAGAGATCGGGACTCAGTGCTGGCCAAGGTAATGTGGTGATGTTCTGTTGTTGGAGGTAACCTGTAACGATCCTGGCCCTGTGACATCTTGCGTTGTCATCCTGGAAGATGAAACGGCGGCCATGACGTCGTGCGAACGGCACAACATGGACTGCCAAGATGTTGTCCCGGTAGTACTGGCCTGTAACACGCCCTGCAACAACATGTAAAGCCGTTATTCCAGCAACAGTGATGCCTCCCCACACCATAACAGAACCACCCCCCAAATCGATCATGTCTGATGACGTTAACGTCTTGGAAGCGCTCGTTTCGACGACGCCACACCCTCCTACGTCTGTCCAAAAAATCAACAGTGAACCTTGACTCATCTGAAAACATCACATTGCTCCAGCGTCAATTATCCCAGTGTTGACGATCCCTACACCAACGACGTCTTGCCTGAATGTGATGATCTCTCAAACAAGGGATCACGCGAGGACGTCGGGCGCGAAGGTGACCCCTATGCAGTCGATTCCGAATCGTCTGGCCACTCACTCTCACACCAGTGTCTGTTTGAAGACGAGCGCTGATCTGATTTGCTGTGATGACACGATTTCTCAAGGCCAAGGTACGGATAAATCGATCCTGGGCTTGAGTTGTCGCCCTTGGTCGACCTGAGCGTGGTCTGTCCTGTACAGATTGTGTATCACGGTATCTGGACCATAGCCTGCTTATGACAGACTGAGAAACATTCATCGTCCGCGTCACAACCGCCTGTGTTGTGCCGATCTGTAGCATGCCAAGGGCACGTAACCTTTCATTTTGGGTAAGCCGACGCATATCAAAATTTGTTTTCTGGTCACTAAAACAATTAAACTGATGTTTCCACCCTGGAATTCAATGCCACAATGACTGTAACATTCAAAGTCAGAGTCGTGCAAATCTTGGGTTGGACCCCCATGATGATCCCAAGCATCACCTGCATTCCATGCGTTTGGGCGTCACATGTAACTGGAAATGTTTCTTCTGTTAGGTTCTATAGTGACTTTTTTCGTAGTCATTTGCATATTTTAGTATTATGCCCCCAAAATCAAATATCCCCTACTTTTTTTTAATAGTATATTATTTGTACACTTTCAGGCCTTAAACCAAAATTAGTCATTATGTATATCAAATAACCTTTTTATATGGAAAAAATATTATTGTATACTTTCAGAATTTTAATAATTAATAACACAATATGAATAGTTTTGACTATATACATGTATTTAAGTAAACTAATTGTAATTATATTGTTTAGGTGAAGGGAGAGGGGTGATATAGGCCTGGCCTGTTCCCCAATCCCATTCGTATTGAATAAAATATAGTTTTAAAAAAATAGGGTAATATATATTAACAAAGTATTAAAATGTAAAGTGTTACTGCCATAATAAGAACCCATTGACACTTTCACGCATTTTGAATCCGCAATGGTAATCATTAATGCGTACCAATGAGGATGGATATCATGTATATTTCACCTGTCAATCAAATAGTTCGTGCCGTTGCTGACCAACCTTTGCTCATAGTATGCAAAATCTGTCAGCACTGGTGTGCATTCGTACCATGTTAGTTGTCTCTCATGTGTCCCGCATCATCCATCATTGTCCCGTTACAGTACGCAATATCTGCGGATAGTTTGTGCACAGTTTACGAAGGTGAACGCGCACTTGCGCTATGGTACGCCAGTTCCTGCACTGTCAGGTATTGGTTACGCTAGTGTACTCAGTTTTACGCATGCGTGACCATTTTCTGAGTCATTTTGTGGCACGCCCTGGCAAGCTTCATAGAAATAGTATATATAAAGGAAAGGTATTGGGATATGGTCCATTCCGTCGGCAACTCTTCAAAATGATGAACTCCAGAGACATTGAAGAAAGGAACCTTACTTTGCAAAACGTACATCTTACAGCAGCTGCTGGTCTACTACTTTTGGAAGAAGATGAAAGTGAACGAAATATTGTTCTACAATCAAAACCTGACACCGACAGAACGTCTGCCTGCAGCAAGAAAAGAAAAGTCAGGAAACTCTGGGTGAGGCAATGGTTGACCAGGAGACAACACTTTGGCCATTATGACCAGTTATTGTCGGAACTGTGAGTGAAGCAAACCTGCCAATGAGTATATGAGAGTAAACTATGAGCACCAGTGAGTAAATTATGAGCACCAGTGAGTACACTGTGAGGATCAATGAGTAAACTGTGAGCACCAATGAGGGACACACGTCAAGTGGCGGGAAGAATTCCTGACCACTGGCAGATACTTACATCAACCCATGAGCACCATTGCTGATCTTGTCGTACCAGTGATGAACCTTGCGCACCAATGCGTGACATTGAGTACCCCTCAGTGCGTGACAGTGCGTGACATAATTTCCATTGACACTTTTACGCACCGGATACGCATAGTTTGCGCATAGTTTACGTAAATGGTACGCCCTGGTACGCCCTGGAGTGCGTGGCATTAGCTTGGACAAATCCAAGTTTTGGGGTCGGCACTGTCACGCATGGTACGCAATGGTACGCATAGTTTACGACTGTTTCCCGCGATGGTACGCATAGTTTCCGTCTTGGTACGAACTTTAGCGTACCAAAGCGTACCACGATTGCGTGAAAGTGTCAATGGGGCAAAAGTGTGTCAACATTAACAACAATATGTGAGAGAGAGAGAAATGGGGTTTAACGTCCACTCGACACAAACTAGGTCATTTCGGGACTAACATATGGTTTAATTTTATTTCAATAATTCGCTTGCGCGTAGGGGTCTTTAGCAGTGGGTGGAAACCGGAGGACCAGGAGAAAACCCACGAGCCCATATCAAACGCCGCTGACGGTGATGATCCCTGAGGATAGCTCCAACATAAGGTCGTCGTGCACGGAGTCCTACTTCTCATAGACGACGTCTTACGGTGTTGGCACTTACTGGTCCTTGTCTTCCGACGACTGCTGCACCTGTTCGAGTCGCTGGGCGGAATCTGTCACGCAGATGAGTGACTCGGATGTAGCGGTCTTGAGCCTGGGTTGTAACGCGTTGTGGACCAGGACGTTGACGGTCACGTGTTGATCCAGTAACTCGAACACGTTCCACCAACCTTACAATAGTGGACTGATGACAATTGAAATGTCTGGCAATAGCACGTGTAGACATGCCAGCCCTGGAAATTTCCATGGCTTCATTCCGTTGATTTTCAGTAAGTCTCGGCATCTCTAGCTCGATTCCTTCACGCGTCCAACAACAAATTACGACAGATTGACGTTTCACAGTTCATGTACTGCACATTAAGTTGAAAACATGCTTTTAAAGGGCTCACACACAATGCTGCACGTGAATATTGGGTTTTTCATGTGCATCTCGTGCAATTCTTTTTTTTGCACACGGGCCAATATTTTTTGCGTTTGGGAGCATTGTGTTAAACAATAGTTCATAGTATTGCATAATATTATACATACAAAACCACCTAGTAATAAAATATTTGGGAAAAAAAGTGATGCGTTTTCCATGGCGCTCAGTATAGAATTATCATTTTGTGCTGGGCTCTGGCCAAATAAAACAGTTATACCAGAATATGTATACGGTTTAAGCTGCTCTGAGAATCATCTCTATATGTGGTGTATAGTTATTCATAAAATCATATTTCCAAAAGGCTTCGTCAAGTGCGCTTGGATTTCGAGGATTCTTGAGAGGACCATTTGGGTTACAATCTGCGCATGCGTTGTACCACCAGCCACCTTGATACTCTTGAGCACAGTTTCTACCAGCATCCAGATCATTATCTCTGTCAAATGTACTGAAAGCTGAACCATTTAACCCAATCATAGAATCACCTAATGGTGTCGACAAGATGGCCTTGATCCAGTAAGGATCAGCACTTGCTTCTGACTGGGTCCATGGAAAACTCCCAGAATACGTCATACGATAATTGGTGGATTCATCTTCGACTTTAAAGTTTTCATATTTCCGCCATCTTTCTTTCCAGTCTATATTATTAAAGACCTGCACAAATAAATGGTGTGGACGACTTGTCGTGATGTAGTGAATCTTGTCTAGCCCAAGCCAATGATTGGCTTCCGGCTCACCAAAACCATCTTTATAGGTGTTCCAGTTTTCATTTCTGTTCACAGATGGCCACCATTCCGAATTCCTCATGAGTGTGGAACCACCACCGCCGTCTTTCATATTACAATGAACTTCAAAAGCTGTTGGGGCTAAAGTAGGTTTAATAAAATAATTATCGTACGTATCCTCATTATAATGTCCTGATTTAAACCCTTCTGTACAATCTGAAAAATAGATATAAAACGTATATATTTTCCATTCTTCCACAATCCGCTAACTTTATTATATGAAATGTGTAGAGATTATTTAATGGAATTAACCAAAGAAGAATTAAAGATTGTATAATGTAAGAGCTAAATCTGCCTATGGCACGTCTTTTTTCTGGCTTCAAATGTTATATAAATTATTATTTAGACCTGTTTAGAAACATTTGTAGGGTGCCACACACTGTGAAACTTTTCTCTTTAGTGACTTGTCCCGAAGTGATTTCTGGATAGTCACCCGGTGCGAAAACACTGAACACAAGAGTCTATGGGGAAATCGGAGGACCCAGAGAAAACACACGAGGTTGGACATGCGACCTACTCCTTATCACGCACAACCGGGGAATCGAAACCACGCCAGTTGTCTCATCGACAGGATTTATGATACAGCGCGCACGTGCTAACCATTCGGCCATCCAACCCCCTTTACTTTTATAAGGTTCTTAAAACTATTGTTGAGTTGCCTAACGTGTATGATGTTCTTGTTCCAGCTTTCTGTTATGTTTCGTAAAAAAAATAGTCTTGGTTATCCCGACCTGTCAACTAGACCGAGAATGGTCGGTAGACTGGTTAAACGAGACTAATTTCAAATCAAGGGCATGTAACTCGTTTTCACTTATGGACTAAGACTAGTAATTATTTCCCCTTATTTCATGATGGACGAATGTAGTGCGAGTTATAAATAGACAATTTTTCCCTTAATTTTTTTCTCCCCTCTTCCTGCATTTTTGGGTTGACTTTTTGGTCTAGAATTGGAGAAAAGGGATCAAATTTGCAATTTCATAGCAGTTTTGGGTAATACTGATGATATTACAGCGGAGGGATAGGGGGTGTAAAGTGTCTTTCTGCAGAGCAGTCATTGTGTCGGAAGTGAGATTTTCACCCCAGTCAACTTCAAATCCGTGTAGCAAAAAATCTAAATGGTCAACCCCCTACAAAATTATGATGAGGAGATTGCCAAATGTTGTCCCCATTGTGCCTATAAAGATTGGAACCAACGGAATGTTGAGAAAAAAGCTACAGCCTGTGATGTTACAGCCATTTAACATTGAAGTCAATGGGCAAATAATTGCTAGTCTGAGTCCTGATAAGTGTCCGGATGTTTATGCCGACACGCTAAACATTTTTAGTCTATTTTCTATTGATATTTAAATGGTCATAACTTATTAAGTATAACATGGCCATTTATTTAGTGACTATAAATGTAAGAAACTGATTTAAGGCTTGGTATATGTATAAATATTGTGGTATAATTGTCGAGATGTTTGGAGATATTTATTTATGGAGGGACACCCTAACATTTGTTTTATTAACGTTCCCGTGTATTCATTGGCGTGCACGTTAAATAACCCTTGGCAGATGCAATTAAGGGTAGGCCGGACAAAATTTGCAAAATAGCACATTGTATGGCGTATGCCCGTGTTTATTACCCCAGTCAGAGAATGTGGGCGTGTCATTTATTAACGCCATTAATCATACATTACCCTAAAAAAATATTTGTTTTATTAACCCCATTAATCATGGCTGACCCTAAAATAAATGTATCTTACCCATCATGATACGTTGACATGTATCTCCTATATAACCATTATAACATTTACATGTTTGTGTTACAGAATCCAGGCTTCCATTGTTGAGACAGGTCAGAGTGGTTAATGAAACAGCCTATAAAATATATTTCAATTCACGTCAAAACGACAAATCACACAAACAAACTGGCATAAGAAATTCTCATTAGAACATAAGAATAACGAGCCAGCATATCTGTACTACAAGGACACTAGTTGTTGATGAGTAATCATATCTGTATTACAAGGACACTGGTTGTTGATGAGGAATCATAGTTTAGATATCTACAAAGATTTTATGAAAATTAGCAACTTGTAAGTGTAGACGCTGGAATATCTTTACAAAAACTGATTTACAGGTAAGTCATTAGAGATTATGAGAAATGGTTATATTTAGGGAGTGTACCTTGAATTTTACCTTGAACTGAGAAGACAATTAGTTTCTATTATAAAATGTATCGATATCAATCGCTGCACATCATTAGGAACAATTCACCGAATATCTTATGATAGCAATTCAAACCCAATTTAGATAATAAATAATTTTTTATCAATGTCGTCCGCATATTACGATGAATCGCAAGACTAAGGCGGTGGTTATAAGACAACGAAACAATCACAAGACTAAGGCGGTGGCTACAAGACAACGCAACAATCACAAGACTAAGGCGGTGGCTACAAGACAACGAAACAATCACAAGGCTAAGGCGGTGGTTACAAGACAACGAAACAATCACAAGGCTAAGGCGGTGGTTACAAGACAACGAAACAATCACAAGGCTAAGGCGGTGGTTACAAGACAACGAAACAATCACAAGGCTAAGGCGGTGGTTACAAGACAACGAAACAATCACAAGGCTAAGGCGGTGGTTACAAGACAACGAAACAATCACAAGGCTAAGGCGGTGGTTACAAGACAACGAAACAATCACAAGGCTAAGGCGGTGGTTACAAGACAACGAAACAATCGATGGGTGATTCTGATTATTTCAAATTTATAAATAGTCAAAAGCAAAAACGTGCATCATAAAAATCCCTTTGACCTTATTTGATGAAAAGGACAATAATTCTTTAAGTAACTAAGGCAGGACTAAAATAAACTAGCAAATAATTGATGTTCTTATCACTAGTCAAATTAATCTCAAGGATTTCAAAACACAGAGTAGAAAAAATGACAATAACTCCACTTAAAAAAACAATCGCGATTATAATTTTCAATAACTATGCCGGTTGAAATTTTATATCTACGAGAAGTTGAAAAGAGTGTAGAACATTACCACATTAAACAACCCACTATACCCGACTACCTTCACCTGATTCATTATAATTATACACAAAACTATAGTCCTAAATTACCCTGGACACAATTTGCGATAGTTTTATCAAAATAGGGTTACTTACCTCTAACTTGGTCACAAACAGACCACCTGTGCCCAAAGATGCTGTGCAGTTCAGTTGATGATCAGAAAACATGTAACAAGTTTGAGATCCATCAAAAGTTGCCGATAAACAACTAGAATCCTGACTACATTGACGAACACAATCCAACATCCAGTGAACAGTAAGTGATTTATAAGCTGTAGCTGTTGGTACTGTCAGATGTTGACATGATTTGAGAGATTCGTATTTATATTCTAATGCCGCCAGTTCTGTTACTGATAAAAGTAGAAGCATCCACATTTTGACGATGTCCGATCACTGCCCTATTCGTTTTGTGAAGACATCACAAATTTCATACATTATATCTGTAATTGCGATTGTATGTTTTATTATTTTTTTTATTTTTTAACCCACCATAAACATAAAATATCGATAGCGTTAAATTAATTACATATTTGAACGTACCTTAACTCAAAACATTCTTGTTTCAAAACCCTGATCTGTAAATAATCGGTGAATATAAAAATAAACAGAGCCTTAGAAACTGGCCTTCAGTATAAATGACGATATTATTATTATTATTATTATCAAAACAGAACCATCCTTAACCCCTGAATTAGCATCGATTTATACAATGGTTGATTAATAATTCAAGATTAAATAAACAATGGGTTTGGTCTCTGAAGAATATTAAATGATTCGTCAACATTATTCCTAACTTATAAATATCTTTAGTCCTTTATTATCCAAATGTCACAACAAACAATTAAAATATAAGTCGATCTGGGTATTGACACTTCATACATAGTAATAATTGATGTTCAAACGGGCTGGATTCTCTCACATTGTTTTACAAGGTTTAGGTTCTAACGGGGCTAGCTTGGGGTTAATACTGATAGCAAATAGAAAAGTCGGGTATGATAGATATTTCTAATTGGTACACACACTGTAAATATCTGGGCACATCGTTGATCAATCTGATTAAAATACACATCTATATTTCGTTTCGGTTTTTTTTTTATTCTTTCGATGTCCTACACTACATGGAGATCTGACAAGTTATAGCCATAGGTCACGTCAGGGGTCAAAAGACCGACTTATGACCCTATGACGTCAGACATTTGATTAACCAATCAGCATTGATGTTACTAGTGGATTACCCACAGTTCCGTACAAAACACGCCTAAAGCTCGCCGTAACAGACCGTTTCATTGGCTTATCCCTGACACCGTTGAGAACACGAGTTAAATAACAACCCTTCCAGATCCAAGAGTAGTAAAGACAAGTAAAACGAAATTTTGAACTATAAAAACGAAACGAAATAGGATCTGTGATTTAACCAGATTGATCGTTGATTACACAGTTTCCATATTAGGACAATAAGATGAATTACTTGATTGGTCCATAGGCAAGGAATTTGCGTTATTCCCGGAGTATAAAAGAGCAGAGGCTTAAAAATAGTTGGACATTCCGACAGTCTCCGTGGTCTGTAGGACATTCCGACAGTCTCCGTGGTCTGTAGGACATTCCGACAGTCTCCGTGGACTGTAGGACATTCCGACAGTCTCCGTGGACTGTAGGACATTCCGACAGTCTCCGTGGACTGTAGGACATTCCGACAGTCTCCGTGGACTGTAGGACATTCCGACAGTCTCCGTGGACTGTAGGACATTCCGACAGTCTCCGTGGTCTGTAGGACATTCCGACTGTCTCCGTGGACTGTAGGACATTCCGACTGTCTCCGTGGTCTGTAAAAATAGTAGGACATTCCGACAGTCTCCGTGGACTGTAAAAATAGTAGGACATTCCGACAGTCTCCGTGGTCTGTAGGACATTCCGACAGTCTCCGTGGACTGTAAAAATAGTAGGACATTCCGAC